AATGTGAATCGCTTTTCGCACACTAAATTACTTTTAATAAATTCAAAATACTTAACGTATTTCAACTTAACCTATATCATATTTTTATATTTATGTTCAAAGTAGATAATAAAATGGCACCCATTTTATTTAATTCATTTTTCGAAAAAATAAATCATTTATACCCAACAAGATTTTCCAACAACAATTATATCCAACCAAAAAAATATTATTCTGCGATTAGGTTCTCGATAGCAATCAGAGGACCTATCTCGATAGCAATCAGAGGACCTGGAACACCCTATTGGATAATGAGTTTAAAAAAATTTCTTCCCTTGATCAATTAAAAAAAAAGTAAAGAGTAAACTTTTGATAATTGACAATGAACTTGACTTCTTCTGAAACTTTTAAATAGGAGTAATCACTTGTTTTTTACTTGATATTTAATTTATTTTTAACATATTAATTTTTGATTTTAATTTGAATCTTTCCCTTCTTAAATTATCATGTTTTATCTCATTTTTATTTACTATTAAAATTTGAAATCCTAATAAAAAAAAATAAAAAAAAACATTAAATTTTAATGAAAAATATATAGATATTTGTATTTATATATGTACCTTACGCATATATTATATTGTGATAACGGATTTTTTTTGGTTTTTTGGTTTTTTGTTTTGTTTGTTACTTATATTCTTGTTTGAAGGGGCTTGGCGATAAGACTGAATTTGTCTTTTTCTTGCCCCAGCCGTGTATATACAGTTTTTAAAGTCTAATTTTGTAAATATTTTCTTTATAGCGAAATATATATTATATTATATTAACTAGTTACCAAAAAAAATTAAACAAAAATCATAATTCAGATGTAAAGTGTAGATTATTTTTATTCTACTAAGATTAAATAATTTATAAAAAAAGTTTCAAAGGTATAGCATGATCCTTAAAAGAACTACGTTTGAAAATAAATCAAAATATTTTTTACATAGTTAGGCAATTCTTTAAAACAACTTTTTGTCTTATTCGCGTTTTTTTAAGATGTTTTTTTTATATCATAAAACAGTGACAATCAAAATATGTTGCTTAGATTTAGTAAGCTACATTATAATAAGGATATAAACAAAAGCTTAATTTCTATATAGTTTTAAATGAACCGAGACATATATGTCCCGTCGGGCCGGAAAGGGTTAAATACGTTGAAAAAGAAGCTAATGTCTAACGTTGATAAACCATAAACCTTGCGACGTTTTTAAAGTGATTATTTGCGTACTTTTATTCAACGTTGAATAAACGCGATTTTTTGAGAAGATAAGATACGTTTAAATTTATACGCTATTTATTTAACGTTGAAAATGTAATGTTTAAAAAGCAGTTTGTATTTAATGTTGATAACGTTGATAAGATATGCTTTAAAACGTGCTTTTAAAAAGTGGCTTTTTGCGTAAGTTGATTCCACGTTGAATAAACGTTTCATTTTGGGGAGCTAAGTTACGTTACAATATCAACGCTTATTCAACGTTTTAATTTACCGCAGTTTAGTATACAAAAAAAGACATTGATTCAACGTTGAAAGCACGTTGGTTTTGTGACTGTAACGCTTTTTCTACGCTGCGACTGGTTTTTGACGTTGATTCAACGCTGGTATGTTTGCTGGGATGAGTCCTAGGTTCAAAGCCGGCTTTAGCCCAATAAGTTACATTTGTAAGGATGGAGGCATAAAATTCCTAGTTAAATGCTCTTTTGCGATGCTCTGTAATAAAAACTTTTGTGGGCTTTTGTGAGCATTTTAATAACTATACAAAAAATAACATCAAACTTAACTAACCCTGAAGATTTAAAATGTGTACCTCAAGACTTAGTAGAGCATCAAAGGGCTAAAGTTAACGCTGCTATTTATACACTAAAATTAGATTCTTTAAAACAAGATCACCGTTCTTAAGTTATTTCTTATGTTTTATTTAGCGGTTGGCTAAAATTGTCTGTTTTATGGTGTTTTAGTCGAGAGCAATAAATTGCTTAATATTCTGACACTTTATTCTCAGTAATCTGTTTCATGGTCTAATATATACCGAAGTTTCAATCGATTTTGCGAAAAAGATTTTGAGGAAAATTTTTCAAGCAACTTTTTCAAATTATTACTATTAACTTTTTCAAATTATTACTATCTATTACAAACAATTACCCAACTACAAACTATTACCTAAAGGAACACTTTTTACTACAAACTATTACCCAAACTACTACTAAAAAACTATTACAAACTATATAAAAACTACTACATTTATTGTATACTGTTATATATTATATACTATTACAAACATTAAAAACTATATACAAACTGCTACAAACTATTATTAAAAAAAGCACTTTTATTAGCAAGCAAAGTTTTCTTGGAACATAAGTTTAATATTAGTACAAATTTAGCATTACTGGACATATTTGTCGGCGCGCACGCCTCCGTAATAAAGTTGTTTTAATAACAAGAGATATAGCAGTTATACAATATTTTTTGAACTTCCTATTTAGAAAAATTCTTTTGAGTACGTGTTGCTGTATTGTATAAAAATCATAAAACATAATACTAGCAATCATAGAAAATTTAATCCAGAATCAATGTGTTAAATAAGTAATTAAATAAGTAATTAGTATTAAATAAGTTCAGCCTACTATAAATGTATATGTTATTCTTTGAGCCAAGATAGACAAATGACGTTTAACAATTCTGGCATATTTTATTTTCCTCTTAAAAGTTTATAATTATTGCTGCTTTTAATAATTTTTATAGCATTGTTTCCTTTTTAATGCCTTAGTTCCCATAGTTAGTAATTGTTGTCATGAAAAGACTCAAGCTTAAGATAATAAGCTTGTCCCTAAATCATGTATTCATTCTTTATTGGATATGAAGATTTTTTTAAGTTTTCTATATTTATTAAATAACCTCAATCAACAGAATCCATAACCTCAATCAACAGAATTCATAACCGGCTTTTGCTTCGGCATCATAACTGGCTTTTGCTTCGGATTCATTACTGGCTTTTGCTTCGGCATCATAACTGGCTTTTGCTTCGGCATCATTACTGGCTTTTGCTTCGGCATCATAACTGGCGTTTGCTTCGGCATCATAACTGGCGTTTGCTTCGGCATCATAACTGGCATAACATTGATAAAACACAGCAAACAGAAGAAATGATAGAATGACATTATAGTGGTTGTTAAACAAGTTTACATTTTTTTGCGCAGTATTTCTAAGGACAATATTTCTTAATTGACATTCTAATTTTTTTCCAGATAAATTTCCTTTATTTTTAAAAAGTAGATGTCCATGAAAATGTCTTTCTTTACAAGCAAGTAGAGATGATTTTTGGTAAAGCTTGTTAAAAATGTTCAAAAATCACATTTCTAAAAAAGCTCGTTTTGATGTTGGTTTAATAGTTAATAAAGCTTTAAAAGGTTTTTCCAGATTTTTAGGCCTTGCACGAGTAACTTCAAATAAATTCATTTCTTTTTTCAAAATCTTAGATTTAATTTTATCTACAATGCTCCATGCTATCTTTATTAAATAAATGAAGCAAAATCATCTAAAAAAGATTTTTTTTCATCATTTTTTATTGTTTGATCAGGTGTACTAGTATTTCAAAATCAACTGTTAGCTCTTCACCTGCTTACTTTGGATAAAGTCTGTCAAGTAGCTAGAGATATAATACTATCTTTTTTTATTTTTAGACGAAGCTGATCCAATTGCTCTAAAGCTTTTGAAGATTTTTAATATTGTACTAAGTGTAAAAGATTGGGGTTTCTTCTCTCATGAATCTGAATTTCAAATTTATTTAGGAGATCAAAACTTATTGATGTCCCTTGATTTTTTAGCTTCTTAGCAGCAAATTCAGCAATTTTTTTAGAAGCAAAAGATCAGCATCTTCCTTGCATAAATATTCTACAGTCATCTCAATGGGAAGTTTATAAATTATTTTGCAAAAACAAAGATGGGTTGCATGTGCAAGACAGCAAACATGATTAAGACTGGTCTTTTTTCCAAATTTCATTCAAACACTCGCACCATCAGCAATTGTTACTAGAACGTCGTTGTTTAAATCTAACTGAAATTCTTGTTTAACAAGTTGAATAGCTTTTTCAGTGTTCATGATTCCATCTCAACTTAAATGGTTTAGAAAACCTTCTAAACCATTTAAGTTGAGATTCATAAAATGACGGTTTCTGACTGAAGTGGATTCAACAAAGCAATTAGAAAAACGATCTCTTTCTTCTTAGATTTTTTAATCACTGCTTATCACCTCACCTAGTGGTTCAAAGCCTTTCTTAAAGAAAGTATTAATGTGAAAAACTTTTGATGCTATTAATGATTGTTTTTTTAGTGAAAGATTTTTCTAAAGGCAGTATTTAGGTTACCTTATGCTTTGCTTGAAGGAGATTTATAAAACTTTTTGTTCCATAAGCTTTCAAAACTGCTAAATAAATTTTGCACTTTGCACTATCTTCTGTTTTGCTATACATAAAATGCTTCCAAAAAACTAATTTTCTATGAGAATTGACGTTTTTAAGGTGAGACATTTTTTACAAATCTATTTTCCTCTGTTAAATATAGTTACGAAGAATGACAAACAGTAGGTATATGTTAAATAATAACTATGTATATTTAAAAAAAAAGTTACAGTTTTTTAATAAGAAACCAAGTAAATTAAGTATTACTAGAAAGCGTCTTACTTTAAGCTCTCTATTTTCCTAATCTGATACTAAAAATTCTTTTATGGTTATTAAGACTTGTATTACAATATGATTTATTTAAATTTGTATTTCCATATATTAATTATTTTATATGTTTTTCATGCAAAATCTAATTCCTTTGTTTATTATTATCATTATTAAGTTATTTGTTATGAGTTATTAGCGATGTTTCAAATCAATCAATTTTAAACAAAATAAGTTTTCTTAAGAAAAATTTGAACGGAATTGATTAAAAATTCAAATTAAATACTCATTTCAACTATTTTTTATCTCTATTGTAGATATTGCTTGATTTTAACTTCGATTTCTGTTAGTGGGATATGTAGATGTGATACGTAAGTAAATGATGTTAACGTGATATGACTTAAGTAAATGATGTTAACGTGATATGAAGGTGAATAATTACAACTCTAAGTAAAATATGTTTCTTCTCGAAAAAGTAACTTGGTACTAATAGTTTCTTGAGATTTTAGGGCTAGTTTCTATTAATTTTTTATTTAAAAAAAAAGTTATATACACACACATATATATATGTATATATGTACATATATTTATATATACATACATACATACATATATATAATATATATATATATATATATATATATATATATATATATATATATATATATATATATATATATATATATATATATATATATATATATATATATATATATATATTATACATACATACATATATATATATATATATATATATATATATATATATATATATATATATATATATATATATATATATATATATATATATATATATATATATATATTATATATATATATATATATATATATATATATATATATATGTATATATATTTATATATATATACATATATATATACATATATATATGTATATATATATATATATATATATATATATATATATATATATATATATATATATATACGTGTATATATATATATATATATATATATATATATATATATATATATATATATATATATATACATATATATATATATATATATATATATATATATATATATATATATATATATATATATATATATATATATATATATATATATATATATATATATATATATATATATATATATATATATATATATATATATACACGTATATACATATATATACTATATTCGCGTAGTTTAGAATCGCTGAATTACAAATAATAATTGGGAATGGGAACTAATCAAACACATTGATTACTATTGCCAAAAGCAATGTCAGTTTTTTTAATCAGTTGTTTTTTACAATAGGCTTGAAAAACAAAAAATCGAGTTGATGATTATGATTATTGGTATCATTTTACTCTGATTAATCTATGATTGTTAGTATAATTTTGTGAACGATGCGTAATGCTATGAGTATTTAGACAAAGAAAATAACTAAATGTATGGGTACTTTAGCTAAGAGAATAAAAAACGTTTAAAATAACAATGAAGAATTTTTATAATGGTTACAATAGTTCAAATGTTTATAATATTAAAGCGTAAAGTTAAATTAAGAAAATTATGCTTACAGAAAATAAATTTTTGGCAAAAATTGTTTGGAGAAAAACAAGAAAGTTTGTTTCGAGAGAAATTGCAAACAAAATTAAGTTCTAAAAACAAATTATATAAACTAAGAGATTCGATATATCGATTTTAACTTGAAACATTAAATTGAAATCAAGCAACTTGGTAAAAGCAAGGAAGATTATTGAACAATGTAAGCACAAATAATTCTTTAAATTATAAAAATTTTTGATTTGTATACGGCAGAATAACTAAAGAAAAATATTTTCAGAAAATATTTATGTGGTTATGAATGTATGCAGCAATATATTGATGTATCGAATGAGACTGTATGTGTAGATTCCGTAATGATTTAAGAGGAGAGGGGTTAATGAGATTTTAAAAGAGCTTTTGTGTAAAGGGGTAATTAGGTAAAACCTATTTTTCGCGTTGCGAAAAATAGATTTTACTTAAGCATTATTTAAGGGCTATTTTTTTTTGGAGGCCTTTTTATGGGCCTGAGCCTAAAAATGACTTAAAAAAAAAAAGGTTTTTTAAAATTTTTTGGGGCCCCTAAATTTGCGGGGCCAGGGGCTATAGTCCCCCCTAGCCCCCCTTGATCCGGCACTGTACCTTAGAGAAGTCGGAAATTCAGAGCAATGAGTCAAGAAAGTCATCATGACATTTTTTTTTACCTTTATTTTTACCTGAATTAATCGTTATGGAGCAAGTGTCAGAGTGGTAAAAGTATAATTTTTTTCATAACCAGTGCTACTGCAATTATAAAGATGTAGTAAAGGAAGTAGTTTCGAATCTGTAAATATCTGTAAGTATCTAGTAGTTAAGTATCTGTATCTTTGAATCAATTTAATAAAGATGCTGCTATTGCAAGTTTGTTTTTCACAGAAATTTAATTTTTTTTTGTGATTGGTTTGTTTCGCCATTAAAGAATTTACACATTCCATATACTTATATTATATAAGTATATGGAATATTATTATTCCATATATTTATATTATTTTATACAAAATTGATAGCTGGAAAAAGAAGAAGGCACTATTTGCCTCCTTGCCGAGCCCGGTATAAAAAAAATGCTATAAAATCGTACCATACAAATTAAGGGTGTTCAATAAAAAAACTTTTCAAAACGTGTATACATAAGAAGTCAAATTTTCAAAACGTGTATATATAAGAAGTCAAATTTGGAGCCAATATATAAAAAAATACGATTACAAAAAAAACCCTAAAATTATTGGCATTTACTTTGTGCTTAAGTGGCGAATTTTTTTTTGAACACCTTTTATACAAATATATTTAAAATTTTATATTAGAAACAAAAAAGAAAATAGCTAAGAGAATAAAAAAGGTTTAAAATAACAACAAATTAAGAAGTGCTAAAATGCTTATCATAGCTAAAATGTTTAAAAAGTATATAAACAAACATTCTTAAACAAATAAAAATAAATATTATACTAAAATTTTAGTAATAATATACACTGAATGTAATTTTTACTTCATTATTTATAATGATTAATTTATAAGGTTATTTATTACAATTAGTATAAACCATTATTTGTAAAAGTTATAATGAAATAATGAGGCGAATATATAAAAGACCAGAAGGAAAACCAATTAAAGTAGCTAAATAAATTAGCTAAATTTAAAACTGGTTTTAAGCTTTACAACTCTAAGCTCTAAACTGAGGGTTATTTCGTACTTAAGATATTTTGTTTATCATAATTGGCCGTATTTCTGTTTATATTAAAAACTATATTAAGGTGGTAGCCGAGTAAAAAAAAACACTCAGATTTTTTCAAAATAAATATTAATTGTTAAGGTGTAGTTTTAAAGAGAAATTTGTGCACAAATTTCTAAATTCTAAATTAATAAAAATCTAGTAATCTAAAAGAGCATGCTTTTTTAGATTATTTATAATTAAACATTTTTTTTTTCAAGAAATTTTTTTAAAGTTTACTTTTTTCAAAGATATATACTTGTTTTCCCTTTAGAAACCTTTTTTATTTTGGGAGCTTTCTCAGTTTGTGGTTTTTCATACTTAAAACACATATCATAGCCTCCATTTATCATATATAATTTTTCGGCTTTGTTCATCTGTTTATAATTTAGTAAGTAAACCAGAATTAAGTTAATTGTTTAAGTATATTATTATATTTGATTATTATATATGAGTTTTTGGAAATATGTAAACATTTTGGTTAAATTTTACCTCTTTTTCAAACTCCCTAATTATGCCATTAGTAAATTTTATGTAATTTTTGTTTTCATTAGCATGTTTTCATTAGTTTTATGTAATTTCATGTAATTTTTGTTTTCATTAGCATGTTTTCATGAGCATGTAAATTTTAATATATTTAATATTTCAATATATATATCTTGTATGCAAATCAAAGTTATATTAAAATTTCAATATATATATATATCCTGTATGCAAAAATAATTTACAGATAGCTTTTTATTTTAAAAAAGTGATGTTTTAAGAATATTTTTGCTGACTTAACATTAAGAAGCTAAAATATTTTTCCAATTTTTTTTGACGCAAAATAAATGTAATTTTTTAATATTTTAAAAAATAAAGTAAAATTTGCAACAAAGTTGTTATTATAAATTTTTTTTTTAAACTAGACAGTCACACTAAGAAGAATTATTACGAAGAGGTATGAGTAAACAAAGAAGAAGTATATCTACTAAAACTAATCGTTATCCAAATCATCTAACACATGGCTTACTTGCTAAACATTGTGCATCTGGAACAGATTATGAAGAAGGGAATGCAAAAATCAACCCAGGTGATAAAGTTTTGGTGTCTTTAAAAAACTCACAACACTCAGTTTTTAATGAGTTTCATGGTGAAGTTTTTGATATAAATGCTCACCTTAAGGAATGGGAGGTATTAGAAGTTATAGATCAAGCACAGACTGGGTATTTAGGAATAACCTATGTTAATGAACATGAAAAGCAGTTAGTTTTGGCACATAGATCTACTAATTTTTCACTTAGCTTAATGGAAAATCTTTTAAAACAGTCAGGTATACAACAAGATATAGAAGGAGTGCTTATGGGTAATATTTTGTTACATCAAGCACATGGCCATTTTGCTACTGGTAAAGCCGTAAATCTTATCGAAACTACTCACAAAGAATATACATTGACATTTACTGGACATTCACTTGGAGCGTGGTTAGCCAGTCTTAGCGTATTTTATTGCCATGATGATTTTCACTATGAGCATGCACGAGCTATCACATTTGATGGACCTGGTGCTTATGAAATGATGGAAAGGATGCGATCAGGTGATATTAAAGGTGCTAGTACCGTTCATAAGACCAAGTTAGAACATTTAGATATAATTTCTTATCTATCTGCTCCAAATATTGTTAATTGTACCAATAAGCATGTAGGGACAGTGTATAGGCTGTTTCCAAGTAATATAAAAGATACAATAAAAAAAGAATTGACACAAAGTGGTGGTAAAAAAATTCTAGAATTTTTGACAAAAGATATTATTGATAGAATACCAAAAGCAATACTTGTAAATTTTGGGCATGATGTAGACTATATATTACCCCACTTTGATCAAACTACAGGGAAACCTAAAGTATGCAAATTAATAGAAAAATGGCCTTCCATTATTTATAAGGATTTTGGTAACAATTCTAGTAATCTTAGTTTTTGGCCTGGTGTGGTAAAGGTTGGAGCAAGTTTGGCAATACCTATAGGGATGCAGATAATAGAAACTGGCATAAAAATTGTTACTGGGGCAGTTCAAAGAGTTTTTAACTGCGAAAACACAACTCTAGATAGTGTAGCACATTTAGCAGTAGTCTATTCCAAAGGAAAACTTGATTTAAATCAATATTGGCTTGTACATGACCATTTTGACAAAGATTGCTGTTTTCAGGTAAACGTTAAAGATTCAATTGATAAATTCTTTTTGCAATTTAAGGCTCAGTATAAAGAGTCAGATGCCGTTCCTTGGAAAAGCAAGAAAACTGGTACTAAAACTGATAGACTTTTAAAAATTTTACAAACGCAAACTGACACAACTAAGGAAGTACAAGAAAGGTTGTTAGTAGATCTTGCAAAGAAATATAAATACAGTGTGACCGATAACTATTTTACAGTTAAAGAAGAATATTGTAATAGCTTTACTATGGATGATATTAGAGACAAGATTGGAGAACTACTGCGTAGTGATCCATATTTCGAGCAATATTTAAATAATATTGGTAAACCGAGACTTAGCGGAAATATTGAAGAAGAATCTCCTGCAGTAGCAGTAGAAACTGACGAAATAGCAGAATGGTCGGAAAGTCATAAAGTTGTTATAATTAAAGGTATGCCAGGCATAGGGAAAACCTCATTAGCCAAAGCATATGCTAGAGATTTTAAAGATGAGTTTACTACAATAATACTGTCTGCTAATTCATTTCGTGGGTTGGAAAAATCTTTAAAAAAATACATATCAAATAGTTTAAAAGTTACTAGAAATAAGGAACCTTTTATAGATGTTTTAATTGAGCTTTTAAGTGAGACAAAACAACCAATACTTTTTATACTTGATGACGTTAAAAAATATGCCGATGTATTAGAATTTATTGAAGGGTTCAGTAATTTAACAAATGTTAAGCTCATTATAACGACTCAACATGATAAATTAGGAGTTAATGCGCCAGAAATATCAGTAGACTATTTATCTGATGGCGTTGCAAGAGCTAATCTACGGAAGAAGGTACAGGAAATCCTAACGAAGTGTTTAACAGTAAATGAGCATGCTACAAGCAATTCTGTAGAAAGACGTACATGTGACCTAGTAAAGTTTCTCTCCTTTGTTAAATCAGGCACTACTTCTAAGCAACAATTAGTGAATAGCTTATCCTGTTGTGGTTCTCCGACTGAAGAAATAAAATTAGCTATAGACAAGCTACTAAGCTTATCCCTACTGACCATAGACAATGCTCAATATATTAGTACAAATATATTAGTGCAAGATGTTGCCATGGAACTCTCTAAATACCAATCTGGAGCAAATTTTTTACAATTTGTGTCTTTATTTAAATCAAGAAATATTTTAATAATATCTATACTTTCAAAGTTGTTAACTTATGAACTTGTACAGAAAGTTGATGAAATAAAACAATTATTATCAAGTTTAGAGGTACAATATAAGTATAACATGGCAAGTACTTTGACGTTACTACTAAAAGAAGCCCAAACAAGCTTACAATCAGAGCAACGTCAGCAAATTATAAACGCTTTAAAAAATTTAGAGCATTTTATGACAGAGATAGATACAGAACTACAATCTTTGTTGACATTTTTAACAAGCAGTTGGTCAGATGCACAAAAGCAAGGGGATGAAAAGGCATTTTTAGTTAATCATGGCTCGATAATAAAAATCTTCCTTAAGGCATTTAGTCTTTTTAAGCAAGATGCGCAGCAACTTTTCTCATGTGAGAAGGTTGTCGAGGGTACTGAGCATGTTCTCGTAATAGGACCTACAGGGAGCGGTAAAAGTACTGTAATTGACCATCTTATAGGAACAGCTTTAGAATGTGTTAGGGTTGGTCGTAATGGTGCACAAACAGAGATAAGAGTAATGCAAGTAGTAGACTATTGTGCATCAGGAACAGGAAGCAGTGCGGTGGCGGAGATTGGCAATAATCCAATAAGTTCACAAACCAATTCTATTACTCCATATTGTAATATCAAAAATAGCATCACATATTGGGATTTTCCAGGTTTTTTCGATAGTAGGGGAGAATTGAAAAAGATGCAACATGCCTTTCTTACGCAATCTTTTAGCAAAGTAGTACCAAAGTTTAAGATACTTTTAGTTATAGAAGTAGCAATAATAAATACTATTAGAGGTGAAGGTTTTATAAATTTGTTAAATAGTTTAAGTCAATTATGTTCTGCAGACCAAATTCAGGATAGTTTATCATTACTAATTACAAAATGTGATCCGTTTGATCAAAATTCTTTTGATACACAAAAGCAAATAGATGAGGAACAAACTTTTTATGTAAAAGAAACATTTTCCAATTTTTTAAAAGAACATAAGGCAAGCCAGTGCACAAATTTTTTAGAGTTACTTACACGTGATAATATGAAAAAAAAAATTGCATTTTTTTTTAAAGTCACTACAAAAGGTCCAATAACAAAAGATTTTTTTCAAGGTTTAGATTCTGCAGTAGAGGCAAGTCAGCCTGCAAATATAGACTTCCATTTGAGTCTAGACGCTACAACAACTAAAAAAATTACTATCATTTCACATTTGTTAAATTCCTATGCTCAACATATTACTCAAAAGAGTGCTGATACCCAAACTGCAGAAGTAATAAAAAAAATTCAACGAGACGGTTTTCAAAAAAAAGATTTATTTGAAATCAAAAAATTTTCAGTACCTAGCATAAATGAAAGACAATTTATTGAAGGATTGAAACATGAAACTTTATTGAATAATATAGTGACAACATTGAAATTTTTCCATATTTTAAATCCCGTATGTGCACCTAATGTAGCGAGTTGGATAGAACCATTTACTAAGTTTAATACTGAGTATGATAAACTAGTCCAAGAAAATACTGGTGATACAAAAACAGCTGGGGTTATGCAATTTAAAGCCCTGATTCTAACAGCTTCGGAAGTGAAAAAAGCATATGGAAGCCCAAGACCAGAAATCACTGCAGTAAAAGCTTATTCCTACCTGTTTATTGTAGATCAAGATTTAGAACTTCCTGGTATAAATTTAGCTATTGCAAGTCTTAAATGGAGAGTTATTGGTGATCGAAAGATTAGTCTAAAAGGTGATAGTACTGAAAGTCTTATAGATAGTAAACCTGTTAAAAATATAGATTCTGGCAGTTTTTATGGATATGCAAAACAAATAAAAGGTGGGAAAATTTTGTTTGATTTAGATGGAGTTGATGGAGAAGGTGGTAAGTTTGATCTTTCACATCAAGACAAAGAGATAGAAAAGATAGAGAAAGACTTGGAAGTATTAGATGCTCAGATCAAAGCAATCACAAAATTAAAATCTCTCTACACGCAGGGGTTAGAAAAGCAGCTTGAGAAATTAACGCAGAGAGAAAATTGTTCCAGGGAAGCGATAAAAGATATTGAAGTTGAAATTGCAAATCTAAAAAACAAACTTAGCAATTCTTTGTCAGAGACTGAAAGAGAGGAAAGCGCAGCAAATGTACAATAAGAGAAGATGAAAAAAAAAGAGAAATCTGAGGATCTCAAAAAGACACTAAAAAAATTAACAACTGTGAAGAAGTTGCAAGAACTAATAAACATTCACTCTGTTTATCAGCAATTTCGTATGGAATATGTGCCTCTTATGCCAATTATTATTGATCACGCTGCTATACATTGTCTTAGTGAGGAAGTTAAGAAAACACGTAAACAAATTGATAACGTTACTGAATTGTTGGACCAAACACTTCAAGTTCAAGAAGAACAAAATTTAAATAAGTATCAGGATTTACAAAGTATTTCCCAAAGAGCTAAAAACATTGCTCTTAACTTGGAATCTGCAGTACTTCAACGCGATAAAGAATATTCTGATTGGCAAGAGCAACGTAAGAAAGTAGAATCTGAACTTTTATGTAAACATTTAATACCTATGAATGACATACATTTAGAATATAATGCTCAAGAAATAAATAATTTAATTAAAGATGATTCTGTAAAAAGTAATCTAGAAATCATAAAGGAAGCACTAATTGAATTAAAAAAGACATATGAAAAACAGTTAACTGAGTTACAACAAGATGTAGTAAAGTTTATCAAACACCATCAAACACGTCAGCAATATAAAGCTCAAAAAGAACAAAAACGTGGTGAACTTAGAAAACGTCAACAATACTTAGAAGAAACTCTTTCTACAATGATTGAAGCTAAAGAGTTAAATGAGAAAATTAATCAATTGACAGCAGCTACTAATAGGAAAGATATGGCTTCTAGAGAGTTGAATACAATTATAGGTAAAAAAAATTCTACAGTTTCAATCTCGCATGCTTTAGATGAAAAAGTAAGATGTAAAGGAATTTCGGCTCCCAAATTATCTTGTAAGTTGTTAAGGTATATAAACAATGACGAATTTACTAAACAGTCTGCAGAACAAAAAAATAAGTTAAAAGAGGAATTGTCACGAGCACAAGGAACTAAAGATCGTATAAAAGAAATAAAGCAATTACTAGAACAATATGCTAAAGTTAAAGCAAAAATAGAAGTTTTTGAGGTCAAGAAACGGGTAAATTTATTAGTTAACAGATACCGACTTGCTGAAGAATATAAATACCAGGTAAAAGATAGTGATAGCGATAAGTTGGAACAAAAACTCAAGGAATCAAAAGTCAAGTTAAAGTTATTATGGAAAAAAGATCATTGGTTTGGTTCTTGGCGTAGTATTACTGATGATAAGCTAGAGACTTACTCAAATGAGCTAGCAACTGTAGTGCATAAGACTTATAAAAAACAAGCAAGTGTAGAGAATAGACTTGAATATGCTAGAGTATACACAGAAAGTTTATCTGAGGCAGTGAAGAAGTATCAAGACGCAGAAAAACAATTCCAAAAAGCTCTAAAAGATTATGAGCAATGGGTACAAAAACACCCAGACACTCTAAGTGATACTATTAAAGTTTATAATGAGTACATAAAATATGATACACAAGTTAAGGAGGCATTTATTGAAGAAGCTAAAATCGCCGAGCATTTGTTACTTAAAGAAGTGAACTTGTTAGAAAGGATTGAACGAAAATGGGATGATAGAAACCTGTTCAGTAAATGTGCTTACGTAGCTAAAGAAATGTTGCTGTTTAATAGACAGTTTTATGAAACATATAAGCTTTCTGGTTCAGATGGGAGTATAGGAGGAGATAGTGGGGCATATAAATTCATATATAACCCTGAAGATTCAGATACCTCTCACACAATTACTCACACACAAAAGCCAGGTCGAGGTGGTAAACATTCATCTATTCTAGAAGGTACATATATTAATGAATATTCATTTCCATTGCTTAGAGGTATCAACGAGACGGGTAAAATAAAAGGAAGCTATGATAGTCATGGAGTTGCTGCTATAGCTTTTAATGCAGGGGTTATAAAAACTATAGCGCTTAGTATGTCATGCCTCGCTGATGATGTTGCGCAGTTTTCTTTAAAAAGTTCTATTATCAAAGCAGCTACAATAGGTTTTGCCTTAGGAGCGTTTTTTCTTACTATAGGTGGGCAGTGTTTACTCTCTCCTGCTGTAGCTAAGCTTAGTTCACATTGGGTTGATGGGCCATATAAAACCAAACTAAAGCCAGCTAAAGGTGGTAAAAAGGGAAAAGTCAATGAAGAATTATTAAATGAATTTATCAGAGAATATTTTCAGTATGTGCAACAAGAAATGTCCGAAGATTTAAAGCCATTTTTTCCAAATATTCCGGAAAAAAGTTTAATTGACGAAATTAAAACATGGAAAACTGTCGAAAGCTTGTTCTAAACTAGTTCAGAAATGTTTATAGCTATATCTTATTTAAACATAAATGATGCTACTAACCAAACATTGAACCAATTTTATAAAAATCTTAATCTCGTTTGTAGAGTTCATTGCAAGTTCTGTATTATCATACAAGTACTTATTTATCATGGACGTTTTTTATACACGTTTTTACGTTTCTTTGTATTTCACTGGAGATAAGTAACCGTTAGTCGAGTGCATTTTTATACAAATATGAAATACAACTAAATTCTAAAAATCTAAATAAGTACACTAAATTTCAGAAATCAAGTTTTTAGCATTTTAGATAATTTTATTAAAGAAAGTATTAGCTCAGTATAACTTGTTGAAGCTTATACGAACGGAAAAATCCCTTCGCAAGTATGAGCAATGGCTAGAATACTCATCAAGCAAGTAATGATAATAAAATTTTTGTAGCTGAATTATAATGCTAAATTTTTTAACTTTACAACAACTTTAAATCCTAACTATAACAGCTCAAAAAACCTCGATAAATGTAGTTTTTAGATATTTTACGGCGTTTTGCCAAGTTTTTTTTCTAGAAGTTTGGTCATTTTTTCTAGATTTACTATTTTGTTATTTTTTTAAAGATATAACAAGCGGTAAAACCTGATAAAGTTTCATTTATTTTGCAATATTCAAGCATTAAATGCGCAAATCACAAAAAAGTAGAAAATATATAAAAAAAAAAAAAGTTAAAATATGACTTGAATTATTTACATAGATCAAAAAAAGAAATTGAAAAGTAGTTACAATTTAAATTACAAAAGTTTTTTTTGAAATTATTTTTAATAGGATTAGGATAATAATGTAACAAAAAATAGAAAGAATAAAAAAATAGCTATGACAGCCTATCAACACAAAACACAGTAAAAAACCCGCATAGTATAAGATATTTGTAAGCACACAAAAGGCCACACAACACAACGTAATAACACCACAACTTAAAAAGATATTTTAACAACTAAAATACTTGAACAAATTAAATTTTATTAATTACAATATTTGAATAATTGAGGGACAATTATAGTAAAACAGTTTGAAAAAATATATCATAAAACACCGAGTAACTTGAAAAACATGTTTTATTAATTCTCCAAGTACTAATTCTCATTTAAGTCTCAGTATGCAGTAGTGATGTTGTTGTAGAGTGCTCGCTTAAAAGCGAGAGGTTCCGAGTTCAATCCCCACCACATCTCTGGTGGAACCGCACTCAACTTCTTTTACCGCGCAGCGGCCTTGATCATCAAGGCTCGTGTTTTTGTGTTATAGATTAGAGAAAGGGTTATAACCATAATTAATTAGCCTGTGTCTTTAGAGAGCTTCCCGGCCTTGAAGAGGTGAATTAACAAAAAAAAAAAAAAAATCTATGAGAGAGAGGTAGAGAAATGAAGTGTTTCCGAAGCAGTTAAAAAAAGTAGAAAAAGCACGTAATAAATAATAGTAACTGGTTATATTATAATATCAGTAAACAAAAGTTAATTTACCTTAATTAAAAGGTTCTAGCATTTCTTAATTAAGTTCTAGCTTCACTCTAACTGTCAGGATTAGGGTTAGGTTCAGGGTTAGGGTTAGCTTTCTAGCTTCTCTCTAACTGTTGGCTATTGAGTAAATTTTACATCATTATAAATTTACAAAATTAAAACCATGTTCCAACAGTAAGCTAACTTATAATGTGATGACAAAATTAAAACCATGTTGCAACAGTAAGCTAACTTATAATTTGATGACAAAATTAAAACCATGTTTCAACAGTAAGCTAACTTATAATTTGATGACAAAGGGAACTAAAAAAAAAAAAAAATTATATTTGAAGTTATTTAAAAATTTAAATTAAATTCTGCAAAGTAAGCCGAGCAGCATTTTTTGCATTTCAATGACAATTAATTTCATCGTGCCTCGATCTATCTCTTTTATTTGGCAACAATTATTTTTAAGTCGCCTATTAACATTTACACTAATAACTTCTTCAAGTATAATATTATCCATTTCAGTTTCACTGTAATCATTTAACATTATCAGTAACATTATAATTGTTACAACTGAATAATAAATGAATGTAAAAGAATCATAGGAATTGTGACCTTTTCTAATTAAAGACAATATTTTAACTTAAGGTTTATTAAAATTCATATCTTTTTAAAAGTTTATATATATGTAAGTCGTTTTGAAAAAAAATAAAACAATATTTATTTACATCAATTACTTTTAAGTTAACAAACAATATAGACTACAAAGCGCAAAACAATTTTTACCTCAATGCATAAAAATAATAAATGAACAATCTAGTATAAAAAAAAGAAGCAATTTTAGTCAGTATATTTTACTTTAAAGTAGTAGAAACTACTTAAAAGTGACATATGCTACATTGAACTTTAAATTATAAGTAGATATTTTTAAAAAAATCATAAAATTTTTCAATAATTTGTTCTTTTATATCACATAAATACAAAATCATCATGATAAATCAGAAATAGAAAAATATAACAATTAAGCAAGTACAAAGAAAATCATCACATATGAATTGAAAATCAATGTACCTGATAAAGAAATGCTGATTTAATATCAGAGTAGTAGATGTTAACTATTGTTATTTCAGGTTAGCTTTTACAAAATAATTTATTTTGGTAGATCATAGTTCTAAAAAATCAAATTGAGATAAAAACAAATCAAAGAAATCAAATTGATAT